GTCAGTAACAAATGTCTACATGCACAACGCATCTTCGATCCGAATTCCACGTTTGCCTAGTAATCGTACGACGAAGTTTCCGCGGATTTGGACCTCGTTAAGAGTATGTACCTCTCAGCTAACACGTCGTTATTTGGCTTATCGGGCCGAATGCGGATACCGCGATGCGGCTGAATTATGCCGCGAATACTAATGACTAGGGCCAGCGTGCACCGCTGAAAAATGCCGTATCTTCGATCTACATATTACTCTAGCTTCTCGCCCAGTCCGTGTAGCTGGCTAATAGGTCAGTCGATAATTTCGCCACGGCGTACAAATCCTTGACTTCATCGACGAGGCAAGAATAATACGCAACGGCACAGCAGAGTCGAAATATCGCACGTTCTCACGGTTTATCGTTTAAGATCAGCAACGCTGAAGAATTCCAATTATTCTGTCATTTTCATCCATTTTTGAATTTCACAGCAATGTTCGATAATATTATCGGGGTTTATTACAACCAAGGTTTGAAACTGACAAAGACCGATTTGGAAAGAAATGATTAATAGCTTGCGAATATTAACCCTTTGCACTCGACGATTTTTTGGCTAAAGAAGGGTACGAGTTAAAAAATTTTCTAATCTAGCAAATAAGAAATCGTATAATAATTGACACGTAGAATTATTTAATTTCGATACTTCTCGTACGGTTAAATTATTTTAAATATCGAGGTTTGAAATTTTATCAAATAGAGACTGAAGGACGCCTCTCGAGTGCAAAGGGTTAATTATTTTCAAATTAATATTTGGACGCTAGGATGAGTATGAAACACGCAACTGTTAATTTATGCTAATTTTGTATTCGTATACTAATTTACCATTTTGCAATCGGATTAACTTCGACAAACTTAAGGTAAGAACTTTTCGCAAGCAGCTTGCGTGAAATTAGCCACTCGCATGTTCCTGTAACGCGGTAGCCGTCGTTAAAGAGGTAACGGATAAAAGCGACGTAAAATTTCTGCAAGATGCCGAAACTAGTAGCCCAGTTCACCTAACTGCAGTCATCTGGAAAGTTTCTACACTTTCCCTTCTCCTAACCTCAAAATAACCAATGCTGCGTCGTAAAGTGGAAATATAGCCAGGAAACTTGTGCAATTTATCTGGCATTCCAGCAAATTCATTTTATCCATCGCGACAGGAATAATTTCAACTTTCGAGCGAGTACCGTGGCACGTACGGAACACCGGTGCCTTGGCTTCGCATGCTGAAGGTCGTGCCGGCGATGATGGACTCGCTTGACGTTAAGTCGCCGGGATAATCCGAGATTTACAGTCGTCTAGGCCAGGATTTTGCCTCGTCGTCAGGGGCGTAGCGGTTGCACGCGAGACGCGCGTAAAACCGCGAACCCCCGACGACTTGTTTAAGGTTATTGAACTTTTTGCCGGGCAGCGTCCGTGCCATCGCCGTTGTAAAGCTTCGTCCCGCTCGTATTTCTCTAATTTATGGTTTTAATTAAAGAGATACGCGAGGCGACCCGTCTTAATTAAAGGCGCGCGACCGGCCGGGCAGACGACGCACTATTTTCCGACGACGCACCGCGCCGGCAAGGATGGCGGGAAATTAAAAGCGAGTCTTTAATTCGCCATCCACCGACGGCAGATACAACGATTCGTTTCGACAAGGGTCGAACGGAACGGGCGCGGCTTTAAGCGGCACCGCTGACCCAGAAAATGCCACGGAAAAGACGCGGAAACGTCGAAATGGAAACGAGAAACGGTAAAAAGGGAAATGGTAAACGGGACGCCGACTTCGCGTCTTGATACGAATAGAGACAAAAAGCTCGGCCGACTTAAATCGATGATAACGCGGCTGAAGGTGCTGACACGGAACGCATTCCTGGGTGTCAGCACGCGGAAGCAAAGCGTTGCATGCAGGGGTTATCGCTGAATGCACGATCTGCTCGAGTGGAAATAAATAAACAAGGCACCGGGGATCGCAGTAGTAGAATGAATATAAATATTATACGACTATGATATTTTTTGTACGCTGGGATGAGGCGGATTAAAAAGCGAGAAATCTGACTGCAGTTTTTTATTTCGAAATAAAAAATCGAGGAATTTTGCATTTTTCTGGGATTCCTCTGGATTAAACGTTTTGTGTACGTTTCGTACTGGGTTCGATGATACTTTCCCGAATCTTTCGTAACGGGATTTGGCGTGATATTTTCGTGAAATTGGAATTATTCGCAAAATTATCGCGAATTATTTTAGGAAGAACGTAAAACTGAATTTACGTGCCACGGTACTGAATAAACCGAAAGGTTTATTAGAGTAACGTGGTAATGTACCGTTAAGTTACGTAAATAATTATTCGAAAAATTACGTATTCGTAAAATTGTATGTAAAATAAAGAGACAAGGATTTGAAATTTAATTAGAAGCCCATGAATTATTTCCACGCGAAAAATTTTCGCGTCCGTGCTCTGAAAACGGTTTTTTATGATCCACTACCACGTGACGTTCTTAATTATATGTATACGAAGATTAAAAATTTTCGAGCTAATGCCTTCACCCATTTACAATATGTACAAATATATGCGATAACTAACGCGGGTGACATTACCTTTTTTAACGCATAAACAAATCCTTTAATTTTGTCGCATTCTAGGACCACCAAACAAAAAGAAAGGAAGCGAAAAATAACCCAAAAGAAAATTATTTAGAGGGAAAAAATTTGTAAATTCGACCTGCCAAATTTATCAAATTCAAAATCTTTTAATTTTGTCGCATTCTAGAATCACCGAGCGAAAAGAAAAGAAGCGAAAAATAACCCAAAAGAAAATTATTTAAAGGGAAAAAATTTGTAAATAATTCGACCTGCCAAATTTATGAAATTCCGTCATTCCTAAAGGTATAATTTTCCACGACAAATAGCAAAACATTTAGCATGCAACACGTTAAAGTGTCCGAGATTGAAACACGTCCCTCGCATATTTCTACGTTATCCCTTGGGACAGGTCAATTATTTGTCATGGTCTCAAAGGGCACGGTTTCAAAGTGCTTTAATTCTAGAACCTCTCGTTATCCCTTAGATTTCCCGAGCGATATACAGGCGAGTAATAACGTCGTGGAAATCCATGGGAGGAGTTAAATGAATCGACGACAAGGAAAACGTTCGTAATTTGTTACGGAAAGACTGACAGGAGAAAAATACACGTCGTGACATTATGACCCGATAAGCTATCACACGAGCTTTGCTCGCGAGTCGTAAAATTAATACTTCCGAGGGGAGGTTATGAGTAATTTCATGCTATAGAAACACGTGCAACGTAAAAATTTACACGGCAGTATCCACAGAGGTTATACATGAAAGGTATTTGCACGTACCCCTATTTTTCGACTAAACGTTATCTATTAAGTTCTGTATTTCCATTAAATAAACATGTATATATATATAAGGTACTATGAGTGACGAAATAAATTATTAAAATAAGATATCTCAAATCTTCGAAATTATCGAAAATATCTATAATCAGATTCAGATATTCTCGACCCTCTGCCATTTTTATTTCTCTCGACAATCGATAGATATCGCGCGAGTAAATTCGAGTGAATCCAATTATTTTGACAGTAACATAGTAAACCTGTCCCGCGCGATGTCGAGAGACGTAAATAATAGAGAAATTTCAAAATCAGTTGCGAGCACGCACAGTAAGAAAGAATAAAAATGAAAATTACTGTATTCGTTGAGACGCGTAGATTGTCGTGGAGTGGGCGCGTGGATTTGGTGGAAAGGATGGAGATTAATTCCAGTGCTAATTTAGCAGCGTCTGGTAAACGTTCTGGCAGAAGTAACCCCGTGGGTACGGTGTAGTTTAACTCTCAGCCGCAAATGAAACTGGAACAGCGCGACGACTTGCTTCCATCTACTTTTATTTTACCCGTACTTTGTTACATTGAAGCTGGGACCGGAAGGAAAACAAGATGGAAGAGGAACAACCGAACACGTGGGTAACGAAGTTGTCCGCGAACTGGCGTGGTTCGTCGCGATCGAGCCATGTGGCGCCACCACCCGGGAGAATCTGAACTAGAGAGCCACGTCGCAACGCGGCGTGTTCTTAAAAACGAAACAATCACGATATTTCATGAAAATGGAATTGGCATCGCGTAGCAAAGACATAAAACGAATTTTATTGAGAATATCGTAGAAAATGATTAGACAACGGGGTGTATCAATGATTAGAATTTGATAGAAAATGTATCATCGATTTAGTTTCTTCTTTTTCCTATTAAAATAACAAAATATCATTATTGACGTAAAAGTAGAAATTTAAGAAGCGTAAAACACGAAATGTGATAAGAAAAATATTTTTTTTTAAACATACTGATATCGATACGTCAATTTCGTAAACAAGAGATAAATTCGATGTTTGTAACTAACAGGTTGCACAATTTTTATTAATCGAGAAGACTAATACGTAAAATAATTTTCTACCTTTCGTGGAAAATTTAATTTATAAATTTTTGGATGGGATCCTTTTATCAGTACCTTAACCGCAACCTTTAACCGCAGCTGTTGTAATGATTCACGCACGATGAAGTCATGCATCATCGTTGCTTCGTGTAGATAACAGTAATATATAGGTATGAAAGCACATTCGATATGCAGGTCATGAGCTATACGTTTCAGAGAAACTCGGTATCGACTGCTCGCGATCTCTACAGTGCAATTTTCGTACTCCGAACAACACGTGGCCGATCGATTTTAATTCTTTGCAATATTCGTGATTTAATAAACAGATCCTTCGAAAACGAATTATATGACGAGAAAAATCGTAGTGTGTAACAGCGAAACGTTAGAATAAATATAGATTCGATTCTACGTTGCCAAAACGTAGCATTTTTAATTTCCAAGTTGCTGTAAGATGACGCTAGTGCGGAGTAGAGTATTAGCATATAATCGAATGCAAGTCTATACACGTGGTTCATTATGATCGAAGTGAGCCGTCAGGGGACGCCATGTTTATACTGTAGGTGGTTTGGTGCGGGTATACGTGTTGTCCATTATTTTCAAGTAATAACGTTTAATTATTTATTTACACGGTACACCGCGATATAAAGTGTCCTGTGCGTGAAGTGTATTACGATCGTTGTTATGGCCGATTAATTTTCATTAGCGGTACATGGATTAATCTGGTAGACGCGAACGATTTTATGACTTATGGACCTTCGTTTCTCGAAATTCTTTTGCTACCTCATAAATTGTTTACAAGTTGTTCACGCTGCTTTGCGACTAAGCAGAGCTCCCAGAACGTGCTATTTGCGCTAGGAGTACAATTTCCTTTTCAGGAATCGTCCGCAAGCATTGGATTGACGTGATGCATCTTTACTAGAAGCATTTGCGCGTTTTATAACCTGACAACACGTCCGAAGTTTCTCTATCTTTATCATGTCATTGCATCTTTGACAAAGTATTAAGCGGTAAGGATTCAACGACTTCGCGATGCCCACGTTTATATGTGTACTCTGCCACGTGTGTATACGTTTGAGGGAAAAATAGCGCGATTAAATCGATCATCAAGAATGTTTGCATATTTTGTAAAATACCTGAAACTTCTGTGAAAATAAACGTATGAGCTCTGTTTTTCATCTTCTTTTGTGCTTTATTTTTTTCTCTGGTTTACAAAGTATCGCCACCTAATTTTATTTTTCAGAAAAATATTCGCGAATTTTCTTTTTGGGGGGAGATTTTTACCCTTGTGTAGCATGCAAAAACTGAGTATAAATGTAAATACGTAATATACCTAGTATTTTAAACGCGGTAATTTGTGAAAGGAATTAAGAATTGGTTAATACGTTGTAGATGGTAACGCGTTAAATATGTTGTGTTTACATTAATGTCACCTGTTGTATTAGAAAATATGTTTAAAAATAATATTTAATTAAAAAATAAGATCTGGATTTATTTATGTATACATTTTATCGTATTATATTATAATTGTAGAAGCTGTAATATTTAATTGAATTTTATCCGATATTGTTTTATAAAGATGTTTTATTTTTTGTCTTCGGTAAATATAATTAAGTTTTTAATTAATAACACTAAATTGTTATTTGAGTGGTAATTATGTATGTTGCAATATAGTTCATTGTTTATATAATCAAGTTTTATTATGTATATTAGTTTGCAAATGTAGGAGTTTGCAAATCTACATATTCAAATGTAATTATTTGACCTGTTACAGATTTGGAACAAATAAATAAATTCCAAAATGTGGTCATCACAAGGTAATAACTCAAATTCAAATGCTTCATCCAAAGAAGAAAAGAATCTACGTACATTGGGCATGACATCTGCTATTAGTGTAGCAGAACCAAAGCCTAGTGATTTTACTAGAACGAATGAATTGAAAGAAGCATTAAAGCCTTACAATGTATTTGAGTCTGAAGAAGAGTTAAATCACAGGATGGAAATTTTAAGGTACATTTGCATATCTCTTTGTATCCTGTATTACTGATATTGAACATTATTAATTATACCTTATGTTACACTTAATTAGTAAATTAAATGCACTGGTGAAACAATGGATACGGGACACAAGTATTGCCAGAAATATGCCACCTAATGTAGCTGAACAAGTTGGCGGTAAAATATATACTTTCGGTTCATATAGGTTAGGGGTACATCACAAAGGTGCTGATATCGATGCCCTGTGTGTTGTACCACGTCATATCTATAGGTCGGATTATTTTACATCCTTCTTTGAGTTACTGAAAATGCAAGAAGAAGTTACAGATTTAAGGGTATGTACCTTAAATGGCATTAAATAGTAATAATAATTAATTGTCCATTTAATGTGAACTTTTTTTTATATAGCATTTACACAGTAAGTAATGCAAGCCATATTTAGCATTATGGTTAGTCGAATCAGAAATTAAAATCCTTATTTAAATACATCAGGGATATGTCTTACATAAAATGTCTCTTTGTTGAAATGTAGATTTTATAGTTATTTAGTTATATTGTTTGATATCTTTTAGGCAGTAGAGGAAGCGTTTGTACCAGTAATAAAAATGAATTTCGATGGTATTGAAATTGATATGTTGTTCGCTAAACTGGCACTTAAAGAAATTCCTGATTCAATGGTTAGTAATTCGTATATGGACAATTTCTATAAATTTTGATCTCTTTTCAGTAATGTACCTAATACGTTTCTTTTCACATACGTAGGATCTTAGGGATGATATGCTCCTTAAAAACCTCGATCAAAAATGTGTAAGGAGTCTTAATGGCTGCAGAGTAACAGATGAGATACTCCGTTTAGTACCTAATATAGAAAATTTTAGGTTGGCACTTAGAGCCATTAAGTTATGGGCAAAACGTAAGATGATCTTTAATCTAATCTTTGTGTGCCATGAGTTGAGACTGTGTTTCTTATGTGTTGCTTTGCTTTTTCATCTTTAGGACACGGCATATATAGTAATGTATTAGGGTATCTAGGAGGTGTGTCTTGGGCAATGTTAGTTGCAAGAACATGTCAACTTTATCCTAATGCTGTTGCAGCAACGTTAATAGAGAAATTTTTTCTTGTATTTTCTCAATGGAAATGGCCACAACCAGTCCTTTTAAAGCAACCTGACAATGTTAATTTAGGTTTTCCAGTTTGGGATCCGAGAGTAAGAGTTTCCATTATACATCTATATTCTTAAATATATCGTATAATAAAAATTCATACTAATGAAAACTTCTTAATTTGGCAAACTTCTTTTCAAAGGTAAATATATCAGATAGATATCACTTAATGCCAATAATTACTCCCGCGTATCCTCAACAAAATTCGACATTTAACGTGTCGGTATCAACGAGAACCATCATGCAAGATGCCTTCGAAACCGGGCTTTCGATAACGGAAGAAATTATCATGGGGAAAGCAACGTGGGATAAATTATTCGATCCTCCACATTTCTTTGACAAATATAAACATTATATTGTTCTATTGGCGAGAAGTGTAACTGCCGAAGATCAGCTTGAATGGTGTGGGCTTGTCGAGTCAAAAATACGACATTTGATAGGTAAAATATTGAACACGCATTACGTATATTCAATCGGACTGTATGGATATGATAAAACCTGTCGATAATCATGCATTAATCATTATTATACTATACAAGATATTATACAAAAACATTAATGAACTGATAAAACGAGTGAAATAATTTATAACACAAAGAATGATAATACGTTAATCTTTATTACGTATCAATTTGGAAAAAGAATTTTAAACGAAATCTTGTACTTTTTATCATCTACAATTCGTATAACATCTTGTAAATTTGTCGATCATGTTAAAAATGTTTAGAAAATACGAATGACGAAGTATCAGCTGCCCTGTTATTAGTTTATCATATCATGTGTTTATTCCAGTTAAATGACGTAGATTAAAACAGGTTACTTTCATTGCAATGTAAACTTTTAGAATTGTCCATAGGTTTCTTTTTATTTTTTTTAGGAATTGTATAAGTTTCTGTCTTAATCTGTGTCTATTCTAATCATGAATCTTTGATCTTGATTGTTAATTTTGTCGATATTGCAATGCTAATAATCCGCGGGTGCCAAAATGGCAAAATCCTAACTCTTAAAAACAGGTACTCTGGAAAGGAATCCTCACATTACATTGGCACACGTAAACCCGGAGGCATTTCCACCGTTAGAACCAGAACCGGAGGGTCACTGTTCCATGTGGTTTATCGGCTTGCTATTTGACAAAAGCGAAAATTTAAACATTGATCTAACGTATGATATAAAATCTTTTGTCGATTCAAGTAAGTATATTATAACCTGCATGTACAAAGTAAATGACTTGCGATTAAATTCCTTAAATTAATTCATTTAACACTTAATGAAATTTTATCGACTGTTTTTGATATGAAATAACAGTTCTGAGGCAAGCGGAACAGTTGAGTATGTTGAAAGAGGGCATGTGGATAGAAGCAAAACACGCGAAAAAGAAGGATCTACACCTTTATATATCTCCTAGTTTGCTCAAACGTGAAAGAAAGGTACGGATTGATTTGAATCTTTCTAATTCGATTTGAATTCTTTTTAGCATTATTTTAAAAAAGGAAAAAAATATTCACGAATAATTGTTTTCTCGCAGATTTCCGGCAGTGTACATAAAAACGGAAATATTGCTGGAAACGGTAACACTGGTAGTATTTCGCCACGAAACCAAGGGGATATGGTGAGCAGAAAGAGATCATCGGATCAAAATCCAGACACATGTGGAAAGAAACGAAGAGTCAACGATGCTGAACAACCAGTAACACATGTACGTATTAAACGTACACGTGTTCCAATGCTAATTGAATGTTAGAGAAGAAGAAAAACACTAATACGTGGAATAAATATATTTGCAGGGAGAAGATGGGTCATTAGTGGTTCAGTCTTGCGGAGAAGATAGCAATTCCGGGTTTAGCTTGGATGAATACAAACAAACGTTGACAGCTACTAAGGATGTAAGACATTGTACATATAATGAACAATAATCATCATATAACAGGATTAGGTAACTACATATAAAAATAGAGCATAGTAAGACAATTTTGGATTCATTGGAGAAGAAATTAAGTTTTAACGTAAATCGGGATCGTGCAGAGGTAAGGAGCGGAGGATATAGTCACACCGTTTATTTGCAACATTCCGCTTCTTTCTCTTACTTTAATTTTCACAGTCCTCTCTGTCTCGCAACCTCGGTACATTAATCCCTTCGTTATTGGAAATGTTTCAGGAAGGGCCTACTGGTGCATCTGCAGTAGCACAGGAAGGATATGTTTGCACTTGACCACTGCAGGATTACTACCTCACGTCAATCCACAGATGCTCTTCTGGGCCATCTAGACTGTAATCACTTCTCATGCAACCATCCACTGCCCACTGTAAGTCCCCCGTTTCGTAAAAACAAAGCAACGTCATGCGTTGGAGAAAACTACCCGTTGGAGTCAATCGATGCACGACTGTGTGACAGACGCTCTAATTTTAGTATTTATGAACAACATCAGCAGTCAATGGGAACAATTATGCTACGAACGAATGATTGTGCCAGTGTCTGTGATGTTATTTTTTTATCGTAAACCGTGTTAGTAATTTCGGAAAGTAACGATCGAAAGGATAGAAATAACGAAACTTCAAACCATCACTACGTCTCTAAGGTTCATAATTTTATTTTTATATTTCATTTTGTACATATCACTTATGATAATTTTTATGCACGAAATTATTAAGAAAAAAAAAAAAAAAAAAATTAAAAAAAAGAGAAAAAAGAAAAAAAACGAGAGAAAAACGAGGAAAATGAAAAAAGATGAAAGAGACAGGGTGTCAGGTCTGGAAAAACAGTTCGTGTTGTCGTGCTGAGATGTGAATAGGCAACGATATTTTGATTAAACGCTTCTATTAGGATTTTCAGCTAAGTGAAAAGAAAACGAAAGGAAAAAAAAAGGTAAAAAAAAAAAACAAAAAAATACGGTGGTTTCAATGTTACGAAGATGAAACGTATTCTTGTATAAAACGCATTTCTTTAATGCATAAGTAGACAAAAGATTAAAAAAAAAAAAAAATCAAGTACGTTTAAGTTGTATATAATTCATGCAACACATCGTTACCTTTGTGTCGGTGTAGAGTACATGAAACGATCGGTCTCTTTAAGTTCGTAAAAGTATAACCGTAATATGATAGTAGGTTTTAGTTTCTTCAGTTATTTTACAAGATATTTATGTAACATTACTTAATATTAATATTATTTATATTATCCATACTAAACGAGTATCTTGAATATCAGTTGCTGTACGAGCTCAATTTCAATGCATACGACATTGTTTATATTTTTCGCGTGAAAAGCCTAAAGTTTTTCTTTTTTAGTTTTTTTTTTCTTCTTTTTTTCTTTTTTTTTTTCTTTTTTTTTCTTTTTTTTTATCGCAACCAGTCTGGATAAGAAAGGAAAATCACCGGCACTGGCATAAGAGATTAAATGTTTCATTTACAGAGGGAAAACGTCGGTAGCATTGTTAGGTTCGCGTTGATGCTCGTTCATAGTAATAGTCTGTAAATGAAACATCGCGAAACAAGCCATTGACTATCTTTGTTGACGATCGTGTTACGTAAAATGTGTTTCGTACGGAGAGTCGCTTTTTAGTTTTTATTCACAGAAAACGAAGTTATAGCTTTAACAATGCATCACGGGACTGGCATCTGGATTATTCAAAATCATCTTATCACCTGTTGGTGAGTTATTTCAGGTGTTCGACTGCCTTCAGTTCCCTTTCAGTTAGTTTCTGTCCCGTATAACCATCCCGGATTCTATCTTTTTACGGTACAACCATTCTCCTTTCACGGATTACCATTGTGTTAAAGGCATGTCGATTATTAACGAACGTCTCGAGGTGTTTGATGTTCACTCTTTAATAATAATAATAATAATATGCGTATGGATATCGGCGCGAACGATACCTTGAAACGCATAGGTTTACCTCAGAAACTAGGTATTTGCAGAGTAGCATCCGTGACATTTGCATATTTGCATACGAATTACGATTCTTGTATAAATCCCTGCATTGACAATTGCGACCAGAATTGCCATTTGTCGTCGCGTTGCATCCTATATCCTTCACACTTTCGTAAGTCTTTGTCGACATCTGTTCGATATTTGATCGAGACTTATTACGACACTCTGCAAATACTATAGTCGATTCAATCGAGCGGTTAGGGACCATTTCGTTGTTTGTACATATTCGTCGTAATCTTCGGATCATTTTCTTCTTCCGAGGCTCGGTTTCTGCTCGCATACGTCTTATTTTCCGTCACTCGGGGTATAAACGTATAGTCGGAAAATTGTGGTATATTAAAAAATGATTTCTCGTTTCCTTCCATTACAGCCAAGGTAGATCCCTGTACAATGTGTGAACGTTACGTCGCTTTATTTATACCGTGTGTTCCATCATTTTGTTACAGTCATTCTAACTTTGGTTCGTTTAATACCTAGCATTCGATGCGATTTAACCGAATGTAAATGCAAGTTTTCATTTTTGGAGATGACAAATTTGAATATAAACGCGGCTCGCGAATCCCGAATAAAAGTCCTCGCGATAGAAAAATTGATAATCTATTATACTTTCGATTACTCGCGATGTTATTTATTTTCCTATTCTCGTGAACTACTCGTTCTATTTGTAAATATTTTATTCCAACGCAAGAACGAATCTCGATTCAGTGGTCGAATTGAGTTATACTGCAATTCTTTGATATTTAAGAGAAATATTAGCGATTGGTCTCTTTCTTTCTAATTTCTGCTTTATAATAATTTTATTTTCGTTAGACGTAACAAGAAGTGTCAAGTATGCAACGGGTCTAAATTTTTCTGAGTCTTTGTTTGTATCATTCAGGGAAATATTGTTTTCTTTTCTGTCTTCTCGAGGTATCTTCATCTTGGTTCAGTTTGATTCTATAAATTTGCTTATTCAAGAGGCAATACTTATCGATTTAATTTATCGAACTAAGAATATCCATCAAGTTGAAATCTTAATAAATCAGGGGGAGCAACGTCCACTTTTTCTTTTTATGTTTCTAGCAGTTCGATTTTAAATCATTTTGATTAAAATTCGAATACTGGTAGACTTCTCGATCCCAGGGTAAAACGTTATCAAGAATGTAGCTGTATAAATCTTGATCAACTGCTACGAATTTAGAAACGTTACTTCCTTATGATTGATCGAACAGGTCCTCGCATTCTCGTACAACTTGGTGCTGTTAGGCTGATAATTATCTCCAAAAACTGGCCCCGAAGCAATAATGGAATCATAAATATGCTCGCATAATTTGCAGAGAAGTGCCTCTCGAGATATCTAGATTTTACATTTAATCGACAGTTCTGTTCAAAGGAGATACATAACCCTCTATAACGCGACGTGCCTCGAAAGTTACGTTCGTTTTGTTTGTTTATTATTATAGCAGTATATTCTATCGTTGTACCATTACGCAGTTACTAAGCAATTTACTTGTAACAATCGTTAGTTCCTATTTCTCTTATTAAAATGATGGATTATAGTCAAACGTTACGTTTTTCTTCTAAGCAAATTAAAATTTGGTTGTAGAGGGTTGGTGGTTATTATTTTTCAACAGATAATAGATTTTCTTCGATTTCTCGTTGTTAATATTTTCTAATCGGTGTCGTTATTAAACGGTAACCTCGTAATACTCTCTTCCATAAATTATAAAGCAAGTGATCAAAAGTAGTTCAAGATACGTTTATTTCATTTAACGAAGGAACGAGATATTTTTAGGCTTCGTAAGTTCTCCTTTTTCTTCGAATTCGATCAGCTTTTCCTTCTATTTTCCTCGATAAAACGAACACAAAGACGACTAGTTATCGTGCAATATGTAAATTTTAGGAATTTTCGACTGACTGTTTGGTTAAACGTAGCGTTAATTGCGATGAACGTACGATCGATGGATAAGGGAAAGTTACGATTACAGGGGAACATTTTATTCGGGAAAATACACGTTTCGCAAAGCGAGGTGTGCACGCGTGTAAATTAGCGATCGAAGGTAAATAGTAATCGGCATACTTAAAGCTTTGCTTGTATTTTTTCGAACAAAATCAGGTCTTTGATCGAAACTTTTCCACCGCTTACCGATAATCCTACCTTTCATCTAATTTCCCAAGTTTGGACACGACGGCGATGAAATATACACGATTTTTTGGTAATCCTTTACGATACGATTAGATTAAAAATGGCAGCTTCCGATGCTCAATGAAAATACTCAGGAAACAATTTTCTATGATTAAGTCGTATCTCGGTATCAACGAATTCTACAGGATAATTCAAAGTTCACAAGCTTTTTATACTCGACGAATATTCTCCGAATAGTCCAAACTTTCCTCTTTGAATACCTTTATTCCGCTGTTAGTATGAAATCTCACGAGGGCCCTGGAATTATCATTTTTCCTTTACCATTATTTTCCTGGTTTATATTAATATTATTGTTTATATCGTAATTTAAAAAAAAGAAATTCTACTTTCGAGTAGTTAATTTACTTATTATTATAGTTATAATAATAGTAGCCGCTATTTTCATTAATATTACTACTATTTTTATTGTTATTATTACTACTACTACTACTACTACTACTACTATTACTACTACTATTACCACTATTTAATTTTCTGCTATCGATGTAGCATACGTAGGAAGTTGAGCTAAACAAATATACGACAATAGTTCGGTACTATCCGACAAAAGGAAGAAGAAGAAACGCGATCGAAACGACGTGACTGGTATATCGTGAAATTGAACACAATACTATCAGGCAGTCGAATATAAACAGTGAACATCAATATTATCCTCGCACGTAGTAACAATAAGTGCAACATGTACCACGTTCTTTCGTTGCTTAGAAAGGAACCGAACGAGATCGTGCACCCGAACTTCATTCACGTAATTTTATTTTATTTTTTTCTCTCTCTCTCCCCCCCCCCTCTCTCTCTCTCTCTCTCACTCACGTCGTTCCGGAACGTCAGACATGTCTATAGCACATTCTTGTTTCCTCGATCCATTCTCGAGAACGTCGCGTAGTTGTCTCTTGTGTGTCAGCGCGACGTCCTCGAGCCGTCGTGAAGATCGTAAAAAAAATAAAAAACCAAAAAGAAAAAACGAGAAAAAAAAAGAAATGAAACGCAACTGAACGGAAATGATAAACGAATGACGAAACGGTGAACATCGTCCGTGACACACATCTCTCTCTCTTGTACAATAAAAAGAATAAAAAAATGCAAGGAAAAAATCTAAAAAAAAAAAACGGAAAAATTCTAAAAAAATTGCTGAAGGCAAGACTAACTCTATCGTCTAGGAACGAGTGTTTCCGAAAGTTTACGGAATGTCCGAAATTTCGAAGGTTTCTCGATCGATCGGTCCGTCGCGTCGAGCTTGAAATCCTTCTCGGGCGTTGTTCTTGTATTATAATTCTCTCCGTCTCTCTTTCTCTCCTCCTCCCGTCCCTTTTATCGTTCTCCCCCCCTCTCTCTCTCTCTCTCTCTCTCTCTCTCTCTCTCTCTCTCTCTTTCTCGAACACAACGCGAAAAGACCTCGGAACAGACGAAACATTTAGTGAACACTCGCTTCCATTAACCCGCGAATCCAGAGAAACAGCACGTACACGAACACTTAGAGACACACAGGCAACACAGAGTGTACACGGTGTACACTCCCGCGACTTGCATATTGATATAAACAAGAGGATCTCGTGCACAGACAGACGCACGATTTTATACGAAACGTAATTGTGGGAGATAATCGCGAATGCATCTGCGAGGCTGCGTGTTAACATGTGAACGTGTGTGAGTCATTTTTGTCTGAATGAAAGGAAGAAAAAGGGAAAAAGGGAAAAGGAAAAAAAAGGAAAAAATGAAAAAGAAAGAAAGAGAAAAAATAAACAGCATCGAAATACATTTACCATGTGTTTATGTGCTTGTACAGCGTACACAGGCAGTCGCGATACACCGACACGGTCCCTTTCCTAAAATGCCCGTGCACGCCCGTGTGCGGAATGGTATGGATTCGATTTTTAGTCACCGAGAGAGTCGTACGTACCATGATCACACGACACGCACGTGAACGAATCGTTGTAACCGTGACGAAATTCTTTTAGGTTCTCTCGGTACCGACGGAGAAGCCGTTCTTCTGTGTGTCGATAGTCAACTTTGAGAAACGAAAAATGATGCAACCGTGAGGAGAGGGTGAAAGCGATTCTCGATATAAGTCGCCCCGACTGGGAAAGAACACGAGCTAAATAACGTTCATTGATAATCGCTACCACGGAGAGGCAGAGTATCGAGTTCGATACTCGCGATAGTATCAGCTGCGTATTCTCCTTTCGTTCTTTTCCCTGCATTTTCGTTTCTTTTTCTTTCTTTCCCCCCGTTTTTCATTTCCACTTCTCCGCGAGCAGCGTGCGTATCGGTCGGACGCGGATCGTGCATAAGCGTATATTCGTTTTCACGAACGTCTAGACGATTCGGCCACGACTACCGCTAAGAATTCGCTCCATACCATCGTGCACCACGAGCAACCAACGAGAACCATCGTCTGGTTCGTTGTCCCGCGATCGCATACGCTCGGCCGTGTATGCATCTCGTACCGAAACGAAACTAAACGAAACGAAACGAAACGCGTGCAAGCCCTGTCTCTGTTTCTTTCCGCGTGCGAGTTGGAGCGAGGAGGATCGGCGTCGGAGGTACACGACGATGCACACTGTTACTTAAGTTCCTGCCACTGAAAGTGTACAACACACGTGCCGTAACGTGCACGGTTCGCGGCGGACCGTGCTGCGAGAGATCGGTGTATCGTGAAGGCCGTATGCGCGTTAGCTGTTACTCCATTCGTAGGATCGAGGTCGTTGTAAAGAGATAACACACGACGGCAGAGTCCACGTGCTTCGACCTGGCAATAGGGACGATTATTTACCGTGAAGCACGAGTTATATGCATAATTTGTATCCCCCCTCGGCAGTTGTACACTCTGTATCTTTCTTGAATAAACCGAAATAAATTTTTCTTTTAATTCCTTCAGCCAACACGCGCCGCTGCTCCACGACGATTAGGTGGAATGACACGTTCCGAGAACCCGATGTAGCTTCCAGCCGAGGAGAATTCATCTCGACGTTTCAATCGTGCGGTCATTCTACCTTGTCGACGTTGACGTTTCTTCTTTTCTGACCTCACACTCAACCCTCGGTTAATGATCGTCAATCGTGCACCGTTTATCGCGTCGTCGAGTAAATTGATCGAGAGACCGTGCTCGGACAGCGAAAATAATATTTCTGCTATACCTCCAACAAACGTGTCTTTTTTTATTTCTATTAGAAACGTTCCAACATCATCCAATCATCTCCGAGAGATGACGCTTTCATCGTTTTACCGAGTTATATCGCGCCTTTAATTATTTAACAATTAACCCTTTGCGCGCGACGATTTTTCGCTCAAAGATGAAAGTTGACAAATTTTCTGCTATAATGCTGAACACGTAGAATTGTTTCATTTCGATACCTCGCACACTTATTTTAACCACTGCGATAACGAGGAATTCACATACACGTGTGCCAGAACGGTCCAGTGTTTCCGTAACAATTGCCTAACGACGTGTGTACCACGTCGTTGGCGATTCTGTGACAAAAGCATTACAACGGGTGTGACACGTCTTTCCAGCGCAAGTGGTTGAATCTGACGTATTAATTAATATCGAGCTTCGAAATTTTACCAAATGACGACTGAAATTTTATCAAATTGCGCCTCTTGAGTAGCAAAGGGTTAAAAGTAGAATCTTGCTCGTTGCTTTCCTAATTTTCATTGCGAGGTAAATTTCAATAAGCTTAGAGCAATTGCCTTTTTACAACGATTTATATCTACAGTCGTTAATGATTAGAATTTAACGAATTTTAGTCTGTTACGAATGTTATAATTCTTCAAATCATGTTTTTCATCACGGAGAGGTACGCCATGGATGCTTTTACTATCTGCAGCGAAGGAAAGAGATTATGAATCATACGTAAGACGAAAATTCAACAACGTGCAAAGATTTTGTAATCGAGGAGCAACTCACGACGCCAAAAGTTTCCAAGGAAAAGACGTAGAACTTGCCAGCGGTTAGGTATTGCGGTTTCTGCGATCGAGCAATGCAAAACATCAAAGATCGCGTGTACTCTCCTGGTAAATCGTACCAATTGGTGGAGTAGCAAGCGAGTTGTATTTCGTTGCTCTAAAATTGACAACGATTCGTAAATACGTTGATAAATCGATAAGAAATTAGCTCGATAATTACCTCGTTGATGAGACACTCTCCCAAGAAACAGTAGCAGAATGCTAACAGTATAACGGCGCAAGAGTAAATTACGAAATGTATAGTATTCATATCTTCCCCAGATTCGGTCGTCTATAAAATATTGCCACATCTAAACGCCATTTATTCGTTTTAGAACAATAACGTGCTAAACAACGACAAACACACCGTGCGGAATGAACATTTTTCCTTTTAAATTCGAGTCGAAGATAAAAAGAATTGAACAACGTGTCAAGTGTTAAAGTGCACGAGTACTATGAAACGTGGATAATTGCGATATTACCGTAAGCAGTTGATAGACCACGATGCACAAAGAGAATATTAATCCTAAAGTTTGTATAAACATCAGAGAACTAAATGTCTCTGCTAAAATATTTGCCATTCTACAATTAAGTTGACAATAAATATCCACGATTTATCGTTCAGTCGCGTCATGTGCCAAACGACTCACCGTAGAAGTTCGGAGTGTCGTTCAACGAGTGCTCTCATTTCTGGAAAATAGATTTGCGGCTCGACGTCGATGTTCCTGACACGCTGTGCCAGGACCGAAAGTTGACTACAGAGGTAGAACGTTAACGTCACCAGAAGACTGTCAGCACCGGTTGCACCGATCGTTAACATCATGCTGGTCGGTACCAAGTAAACGCAGAACAGAGCGTACGTCGTGACTCCGGTCACTTCGTAAACGTTATTCACTTTCATCGGTAACTCGTAGGGGAGTGTACAATTATTGAATTCTGCGAATGAATAGAGCATGCAGAAAAATACCAAGTAACCGAAATTTAACCCTTTGCACTCCGATGTCGTTGCTGCGACGATGTAATAAAATATATTTTTGAAATGTATACGATTTCCTTTCTTCATGACAAAGTAAAATTTTTAATCTTCCACGGAGTAAGTAAAACTTTTGATATTACAGAAATAGTGTCAGGAATACCTGCTAGCCCATAGTAAAAATTACTCGAAGCTTCTGGTAGGTCATATTAAAAATTGCTTGGAGTGCAAAGGGTTAAATACGGAAATAAAACCTCTACGAAATATAGGATCGGTATTTCTTCGATTTTGACATAATTATGCGAAACATTTCTATTTCTCTAGACAGAGAGGAAAAGGGAAGCCAAAAATACAGTTCCATTTATCCAGTTTCCACTATTCGCGCGGCCTATGGGAGGGGAGAAGAGGGAGGAACGTAGAACCGCATCGAGTACATAAATTCGCGTTTGCTTGACCGTGGAACGGAGCCGCGCCGCAAACGACCGCGAAAAAGAGAGGCACACCGTCGGTGGTCGTGCAAAATCTTCGACGAACTGTGACAGGCTCGTAAAACGTAACCGTTTTGTGTATCGTGAAGGAAGTAACTGTCGCCTCGGAACACCATAAAGCTGCATACGCGAGGTAACTGTACGCGCGATCATATGGATACGGATATCGAATGCGTTTCCTGGATCCGAGCGATAAAGTTCGCATTAAAGTCCTGATTTATCTCGCCGGAGCATCCGTGACGCGTTGATAATGCCCGCTTGCTTAATAAAACCGCCACTTTTACCGCCTTCTTCGCTCCCCCGGGCCACGTTGTTTCGCCTTTTAATGGAACACCGTGCCCCACACGTTCCGATCTAAAATTGAGTTCTCATCGTCGGGGGCTGAGATCCTGCATCCTAGTTTTTCGATTTTCGTTTTACGCCTCAAGCAATGCCTTTTTATTATACTCTCTCTGGTCGACTAAATTATGCATACGTCTCGAGGTAAACGATACCTATACCTTTTATGGAAATTTGGTAAATGGGTTGCGAAGTGAAATCGAAGTAGGAGTATTCCTCGGAGTATGTAAATAGGGAGAATTCTGTTGCAAGTTTGGTCGGTTCGCGATCACACCGAGAGACCTCGAGTTGTAGGACAAGCTTGGAAGAGTATGGGAGGAATCTATAGAGGTAATCTGAAAGGAAGAAATTCGCGAATAGCGTCGATAAGCGATACCCTTGCTAATTTTATCTTTGTTCGATGAACCGAGCGAGTATATCAATCTCGGGAGCATAACCGCGACGAAATGGACGCGTTTGGAATCACGAACACGCGATCGGACTTAGGCGATCGAACTCACTCGATAAAAGACAGCTGACGATTGGCTTGGTATAAAACAAGGTGGGTACGAAGAATAAAGACAAGGCCGACGAGGTGGAAAATAAGGTGGCGGCCACGTTGTACCAGACGACCGTTCGCCGTTCCTCCGGAGTCCGATACAGCCCCTGCTTCACGTCCCTTTCGACCACCATCAGCAATGGCAGAACGAGATGCATGTTCAGCCGAAACATCACGGCCTTCAGCACTATCAAGATGGTCGGGAACGATAGCGTGATATTTTTCAGCGTCCTCTCGAGGTCGTGTATATTCTGCAGCAGCGTCACGATCTCCAGCCAGGTGAAGATCACGACGTACGTAATGTAGAAGAAAAATCGCACGTCGTTGCGATTATCCGGCCATAGGCCGGATAAGCTTAGCAGACGTTTGCTCCACGAGATCACGTGCTCGTCGTAGAACAGTTCTACGTAGAACGATATCGGCCTCTTCATCCTCAGGGACGTGACAACTTGACTCGAGGCTCTTAGTCTGAGAACTGCTACGGTATCGAATTGCAAACGTCCAGGTTTTATTTCTTTTCCAAATGCCCCGGTATGTATTGTAATTTATAGCTCTTAGAGGGCTCGAAAAATCCTACACGAAGATTAGGGTTCTTTTCGTGTCAACCGTAATCTCGTTTTCATCTTGAGAGACGACGGAGTAGCATATCGTAAATGCGACTCTGTACCCTTCGATCAGATTCCTGTAGATGGAAGAGACTTAATCTGCCGTTGCTCTTTAAGTATCTATCCAAGATAGATTTGCTCGATTATAAACCTCTCGCGGATTTACCATATGTCATGCTATCGAAGGGTCGGACTTACCGAGAGTGAACGAAGGATTATACCTTTCGTTGGAGATTAGAAACTCTAACTGTGCGTTTCGTTGGAATGGCGATAACCTGTGAATCGATCGATACCTGTTCCCCATTAATGGGTGATTACGCATTCTCCGATCGCCGTTGTCTCGCTGACAGTCACGCCATTGGCGCGAATTACCCGAATCGTGGTCGCAACTTTGTCACAGTCCTATCTGCATACTTTATGGAGTTTCGTCCGATTCGGAAGTAACGGCAGGATGAGTCAATCGCGAGTGAACTTCGAGCAGTGTAATGGACGTAATAGGGCAATTATTACTTTCTTCGGCATTTACGCGCCACAACTTTACTCTTGCGTCGGAAATTCACCGTAGCGGCTGCATTTATCTTCCTGCTGTTGGATTTTTCTTCGTTCGAGAATGAGAATTCGGGTATCGGACGAGGTGTTCGATTGCTACAAAACGCAACAGCAGTTGCGTATCGTTTTATCGATCTGACGTAAACTTTCATGGTACACTCTGCAGAGATAATCTACAACGTGTAACGTACAGACTGAAGTGGTATTGGTTAATGTAAAGCGTGTTCCTATGGAGTACTCTGACATTTACTTGAGAAGACACAAATTTGTTTTATCAATTTCATGTACACACGTAGTTAGTCGAATATAAATTTTCGAAGAATAAATGTGTTAACACGTAAGTAGTCTAAGTCGTATATGTTCCTCCTAGAAATATTTTAAATTTCGCGATTTAAATATATCATGGATTATAAAAATTAATTGATCAAATAAATCTACATACTCGATCGTACACACATAGTCGGATATAAATTTTCAAAGAATAAATGTGTTAACACGTAAGTAGCCTAAGTCGTATATGTTTCTCCTAGAAATATTTAAAGCTTCGCGAAATTTAAATATATTATGGATTATAAAAATTAATTGATCAAATAAATCTATATACTCGATCGTACACACATAATGGGATATAAATTTTCAAAGAATAAGTGTGTTGGGTTAACAAGTAAGTAGCCTAAGTCGTATATGTTTCTCCTAGAAATATTTAAAGCTTCGCGAAATTTAAATATATTATGGATTATAAAAATTAATTAATCAAATAAATCTATATACAGGTAACCCTCCTATAACACGGTAGATAGGTTCCTAGAAAATGTGGTGTTGTGTGAAACCGTGTTGTATGAGACCCAGAGCCAGTACAAAAAGGTTACGTTTCGAAAACTTACTAAAAACAAATTTTTTTTCAATTCTACGTAAACAACTTAATTTTTATTAAAAATATAAACGTACGTACGACACGAAACAAAAGAAAAACAAAGATATTTTAATTTAATAAATTTCTTCGTCGTCACTGTTTATGTAGAAGTACAGTGTTGTACAAAGGCTTTTGCAATTTTCTTATCATGTTGTACCGTGTTGTAGGGGGGGTTCCCGCAATTTATGAATCGTGTTATCGGATACCGTGTTGTAGGAGGGCTACCTGTACTCGATCCTACGATTCGATTCCTTGTTATTTTGCCAAAAATAATTATATTTTATTTTGATCGTTTCTATTGTCTACCTCTTAGAAGGAATAATTTGAACTGAATCAAGGAAATAAAATTATCGATACGAATAAGGGAACCCAAGTGTGATGCAGCGTTCTGCTTAATCTCATCGCTCTGTCCCAATTTTTCATAATTTTTCACCAATTATTCGATCTTCTCGATTCGATCGGAGATGACATATTTACAAGGAAAAGCAACTGCGCGTGCATCAACGTCGACACGCGAATTTTGCCCCTTTCTGCGAGAAATTTGCCCGATCAACGGCGCTCGTTTACGGCGCGGAGATCACGCGGACAAAGAACAATCGATCGACGTAATTCGGAATAGAATTCCGAGCAGCAAACGGACAAGGAATCCTCATTCGAGGACGATGAAGAGCGCGTGTGCGTGGCGCCGGAGCTTGCGACGGAGCTAGAGAATGCAACCAGTGTCATGCAGTCGTTGTACCGAGTGCACGTGCAGAACGTTCATGCGAGGGAAAACACGGAAGTCCGTGGAACACAGGGGCGCTAGATCGCTTTGAGGATCGGGTTTCGAGATGAGAAACAAACGCATCGGTGCTATCGGCGCGTTTTTAATCGCCACCGTATGCCTGCTCTCGGGTCTGATGTATTATTTTAATCAAGGTACGTGATTTCGTTCATTATCGTTTGCACCGCAACTACCGATTTTTAATGTCCACCTAAACGTAACGTGTACAGATAATAGTAATATTAGTGGCACGATAAAGATAAGGAAATGTATATAATTATCCTTTTTTCTCCATTGCTAGTCGACATTCGTATTTTTAAAAGCAGATGCACGATTTTAGTAATTGGGGAAGGAAGAAGTTTGAAACTAGGCATTTTCACCGGTTTGATAATTTTAATGTTAACCCTTTGCATTCGATGATTTTTTGGCTAGAGAAGAGTAAAAATTCAAAGATTCTCAACCAAAAAACTGACGATACTTTTTTGAGCAGTAAATAAAGAATTGTAGAATTATTTGATTTCGATACCTCGCACACTGTTACATTACATAAAATTTGATATATTAATTAATATCGATATCCAAATTTTATGAAATGGTGACTGAAGCTCACCTCTCGATTGCAAAGGGTTAATTTATAATTCGTAATAAGGGAACTGAATTTCTTAATTTTTGGAGTTTAATGTTAATCTTCTATGTTCCTGAAAGTATTAGTATTTAAACTGCGAATATTTTTGTAAACATCATTGAGATATTTTTATAATTATATTTTCTATTGCAAACATATTTTTCATAATTTATCTACATATACAAATTTTATTTTATCGGTTTGTCGGTATGCTGTTACGCGGATTTATAGTTCAGATAAGAAGATTTAGTTACGCGATTTTCTTTTCTCGTATGTGAACAAAGTTCTAATTACAGGGGGTGAAACGGTATATGTATCTATTTGGGACATTAATTCCGTTTCTCGACGTTTGCAGTATATTTTCCGTAGATTTCCAGTTGAATTTACGAGCATCACGTCGTTGATGAAAATTGGGTTACAGATTGCTCGGATTTATTTTTCTTAACTAAGATTACTCTTGTTACATCAAGAGCAGTAATAACCCACTTAAGAAAAAGAAACGAAGTCGAAATGAAAAAAGTAGGGAAATAAGATGGTCGAGAAATTGCCGGGAGGGGCCCTTTTTCACTCGCAAGTGGAAGATCAATTTAAATTATCCTTTATTTATGGTATTCGCGACTCGTTATTAAACTCTTAGTTTTCTGAATAATTATTAGAAATATCGTAGGTACATCGGTGATGGACAACGACAATTTTCCTGATTCCAGATACTTGCCCTATGGGAACATTCCTTTGTCAGAACACCACCATTTGTCTACCCCAGAGGAATTGGTGCGACCTGAAATACCAGTGCCCTAACAGGGATGACGAGCAGAATTGCTGTTGGTTCATTAATTATCACGTTCATTTTAATTTTCACGAAAGAATCCGAGGTTACTTTATAACTCGGGTATAACACTTCCGTGTCGCGCGATTATCTCGAAAATATCGTCACTCTTTCTTCCAGCGGGAACGAATTAAATTTAAAATTTAGTTACGATGTTTGACATTTTTATACGCGTCCCTTTATACAGTATAAATGCAATACCGAACGGTGCAATATAAAAAATGTTACTTTGTATGCAGATGATTATCACGGTGTATTGGACTGGTTTGGCAGTAACAGAGATTCCGAAGCTGTAAGGGAGTTCGATTGTGGTAATGCAATATCCATAATTTATCGAACAACGGAACACAATATCGAGTAACAGAAAGAAAAATACGACGATAAAGCGCAAAACTCAATGGACGAGATAAGAATTGCCAATTTACGTGTTTTTCTTCCTTTTTCAGACGCCACCGGCATTCCTGTCGAATGTAAGTACGTGAAGTGTCGAGCGACTTGTCAAGGCTTCTCTGAAATTCCGCGAAACCTGTCATCTCAAACTACCTCCATGTACGAACTCTAAATCATCTTGAAAACCATATCTCTAGTATTAATCGCGAACAATGTATTTTTTCATTTTTATATCCTCGGCGAATTGCTCCTAATTACCTCGATTCCTTTATTTTTCAGAACTTTCTACGACAGCTCGATTAAACGTGTTCCAATGGGTGCTTTCGCAGAATACTCGGAGATACGTATACTGTAAGTTCTCAGCAAACTCATTTGCATTGCATAATTTATCTCGACAAGTGCCGTGGAATTTTTTTTTTTCAACGAACATACTAATTTCCAGATACCTCGATAGCTCAGGTATACACGAATTAGAAAAAGGCGCTTTCGTTAATTTAACCAAATTGTTCTGGCTGTAAGTATCGTTAAAAGTATTATTATTATCGAAATTACAAGAATCACTGTATGCGTTATAAATACGCAATTATGTGAACAGAATTTTGGACGATAACCAAATCAGCGAATTTCTACCCGGGCATTTTACTGGTTTAATTAACTTGGATTCCCTGAAAGCCAATAAGAACAAGCTCACCGTGGCAGACTTCTCGGACTTGAAGGGAAGCGAAGCTTTGAAGTTTATGTGAGTCGTTAACATAAATCAGATTATCATACGAACTTCGTACGACTGCGACATCCGAATCTCAATTCTATCCTTTGTTGCAGAAATTTGAACAAAAATCAGTTGACTTCGGAAGGGTTGAAATTGCCGGAATTGCCAGTGTTGAAAGAGATGTGAGTCTAAATTATTTCTTTTTCGCGAAGAGGGTTGAAATTAATATTAAAACACCCGGTAACCTTTCAGACTGCTAGACGAAAATAATTTCGAGTCGATACCTGACACGCTGTTCGCCGGATGTCCCTCGTTAAAATTATTGTACGTACGTAAGTAAATAGCGAATACAGAAAATTAATCCCTTAACGCCTACATGCGTTTCAAATTCATAGCTATGCGTGTATTCAACTATTGTTGACGATTTAAACTTCGGTAAACGATATTTTTACCGATATTCTGGAACGACGATAATATCGTAGAATCCTCATCGTTATTTTTATTATTTACGTAATATCGCTTTAACCCTTTGCACTCGAGAGGCGCCTCTCAGTCGCCATTTAATCAGATTCTAAAAATCGATGTTTATTAATGTACGAAATTTACAATTACCCAACGATGCGTGGAATATCGAGGTAAAATAATTCTACGTCTTAATTTTCACACGATTTCTTATTTACCGTTTTAGAAATTTCGTCGATTTTATGGCAGAAAGTCTTCGAATTACTATTTTCCCGTAACGAAAAAATCGCCGAGTGCAAAGGGTTAAGATTATAAGAGCAATAATTTATATCTTTTTCGAGCGGATGAAAATATCGTTGGCGCCATAAAAATCGGAGCTGAATAATCTTACGTAATAAGAGATGGCTGATAAATTGCATTAAGGGGTTAAGCAATTATTTTTAACGACCGTGAACTAACAAGCAATATCAACCACTGTCCAGGAGTATGCAAAAGAACAAGATAAAAACGATCGAGGAGGACACGTTCCAAAATTTGGAGCAGCTGGTCGAACTGTAAGTTCCTCGCGTTACATCAATTTGCGAATGCTCCTTATGGCGGAGTAACGAAGTTATGTTCGTCGTACATCACCGTGCGGTGCAAAACGGATTTTTTTTTTCCCTTTCAGTAATTTGGCGTTCAACGAAATAACGACCGTCCCGCTGAATGTATTCCAACCGTTAAAAAATCTGACGAGGCTGTAAGTATACGAGGCACCGGTATCCACATAAATTGTAACGCTACACGTCTTAAGCTACGCGCGTGCTTGCAACATATTTACCTGATATTTACCGTCCAACACACGGCGTTAGAAAAGCAAACGAGAGGAACGTCACGTATGCTGGCGTTAAAACATTTATTTATTGTGCCGGCACGTACGGAAATAAGGCTGATACGACTGGTCGTGTCATTATCCAGATTTTATGGTAGAATTAAAGCTCGCGCGATGGGGCATTATTAAATACTCCAACTGACAATTCGTTATTCATTGCAGACAATTAGGTTACAACCGCCTTCATAATTTACCGATGGCCGTCTTGAGTCCGTTGACGAGACTGTATTCCCTGTGAGTTCGGACACTTGTTTCATTTTTATTTTTTGGCACTGAACCTACCACGATGGATCAAATGGCCGGTGGATGAAGCACGAAGCGAGAGGAATGCGAAAAAATTGGAATAAGAGAATCAATTTTTTGATTAAACTCTTAACCCCTTGCACTCGAGAGGCGCCTCTCAGTCACCATTTAATCAGATTCTAAAGATGGATGTTAATTAATATATGAAATTTACAATTAGCCAACGATGCGTGGAATATCGAAGTAAAATAATTCTACGTCTTAATTTGCATATGACCTCTCATTTACCGTTTTAGAAATATCGTCGACCTTATGGCAGAAAGTCTTCGAATTACTATTTTTCTGTAACGAAAGGTTAAACACGGTCATTATTTAGGTTCTGCTAGGTCCAGTGTTAATTAAAAAATATTTTATATTATTTTATAGGTCGTATGGTGAAATTCTGATTAATCATTGGTACGATTTTATATAAATTTTAGCGACTTGGAGGGTATAAATCTGGACACGTTACCAAAGAACGCGTTCGACGTATTCATGAAATTGGACTTTGTGTAAGTAGATCTGCCCGTGTCGTGTCAGACGCGTCTCCTTCGTTCCTAAATAGGATCTTCATGCGTCCATTTATCGGCGTATCTTATATTTTCATAATCGTCGAACGAAGGAAGTACCATGCACATTGTAAATCGCTTCTTCTATTACTTTTCAGTTACTTCAAGAAATTTCATTATTGCGGAACTTACGCGCCTAAAGCAAAGAGATGTCGACCCACGGGTGATGGTAAGATTTTTCCCCAATTTTCTACCTCGCGCAGACAGAATGATCAAACGCGATTAATTTAAATCTTGCTCTCTGAGATTCGAATCTCTTTCTTTAACTCACGGTTGAATAACTGCGATTTAGCACAGTGGTTAATTTACATAGTATTAATTTAATTCAACCCTCGCATAAAATAATTAATTCGACGTTAATGGGGCATGGGTCGATTAAATATATTTTACTTTGAAGATTATGGTTATTATGATATCACCGGTAATTTTAACGGCACCTATAAAACCCGCAGAAGTATTTACGAAACGATAGTAGGAGTCATTTTTGTTTATCAAATACGTCCCAAAAAGAAAGCGTGATATTCGCGATGTAAATGGCCGTGTAATTTATCGATTAACTCGAATTCGATTCGACTTTTTACATAGGCGTATCGTCGTTATCCCACTTGCTCGATAAAACTTTGTTACGAGCGGCAGTGTGGGTAATTTCGAGTGTAACCTGCATGGGCAACGTGCTCGTTCTTTGGGGGAGATTCACGGCCAAGGACGAGAATCGAGTATTGACCATCATTATTCGAAACCTGGCAGGTGTGGTATATTTTTAAAATTATTTCATGTATTTTTAACACTTGTGGCATCTTTTGCGTGAATGTTATAAAAATGGCACATCGGTCTTGTTTATTCGCCATCATTTTAATCACCGAATCGCATAATCTCTTTACAGTGTCCGACATGTTGATGGGGATATACCTGTTCATAATCGCTGTAACAGACATGATATTCCGTGATAATTACAATCAAGTAGCGAGTTCGTGGATGTCTTCCTGGTTCTGCACCTTCGTAGGAGCTTTGGCAATGATATCCCTGGAGGTATATTTTCTCTCCATATTTTATTTCAAATCTCTCTGTATTCGATTAAATTTTTCCCTCGAAGATGCACTGATCGATAATGGTTCCAGAATATCACGATTTTCCTAGAAATTTATTCACAAAAATCTGCATAATCGTTCTCCGACTCGACTAACCGAAACATCGTGTCCACGTCAAAGCTACTCGGATATTATCAAACTATCTCGACGTATCGAAAAGTCATTTGACACGACACAAAATTTCACTCAAGATAATTACCGCGCGACGTTTCAAAAAAATTTGTCAAAAACATTTGTAATATCGAGCAAGTTGAAATACCATTTGCTCTCTGGACGGCGTAAAAAATTAAGCTATCATTTAAATACTGGATCATGCGGTCTTTTAATCCATTATAACGTCCATTAAAGTTCGAGGAACGAATCAAGACGAACCGTATATCTCGAGGAATCGAATGGCTCGTGGTTAATTTATTGAAATAGAATCGATCTGTCAAGGTTTCAGTATTGATCCTGTCGTTCATGTCTCTGGAACGATATATGCTAATCGCGGCGCCACTGAAAGGTCACCGTACCATGACACCGCAGACGGCATCCGCATCGGTGATCATCATTTGGATCGTAGGATTTACCCTCGCTCTCGTGCCAGGTTCGTCCCGGTGTTTCTTATTTGTCCACCAACTCCGGCTGCATGATCCGTGATAACATCTAATAACCTGTCAAGATGTCCGACTGCCTGTTAACCCGCCGATTATGATAACGTAACGTGAACCAGACAGCGAGCTCTTATTTCGTCGCTTTGCGAATCAATTAAATGTCGCGTCGATTGTTCTTTCATTATTCGAAAGCCAATAACGCGTGGCGATTTCAAACTGCACGTGACAGACGTTGAAATTCGATTAACCGTCATTCGAGTCATTTCAAAATTTCATTCTTCTTTCAGAAAATTCATTCGATTATTTGCACAATCGAAGTACAATTTTAAAAATATTTTCTAAAATTCTTTTAACCCTTTGCATTCGACGATTTTCTCGCTAGAGAAGAGTAGAAAATCAAAGATTTTGTTCGAAAAAACTGACGATATTTTTTTGAGCAGTAAATAAAGAATTGTAGAATTATTTAAATTATTTGAATTTGATATATTAATTAATATCGACCTTCCAAATTTTATGAAATAGTGATTGAAGACCACCTCTCGAGTGCAAAGGGTTAATAATTCCAACATGCTACTGTTAACCCTTTTATTGAAAATTGTTCTCATGCGTTTTCGTTTAGACTATTAACCAAATATTTTTCTGCATCCGAGCGCAATTAAATTGCACTTTGTACACGTACCTAAGTTTAAAAATGTACGCATAGAAAGAACCGTGGTCTGTTTTCGAGTGTACCAAGCATTCAGAGCTGCCAGTAAAGGGGTTAAACGTAGGGAGAAAATATAATGGAACGTCTATCCTGTCTGAAAGAATTATCGCGCGTATAAGTGTCTGGCTGTAGCCATCGCGAAGAAATAATCGTGGAAAGGACAACGTTCTCAGACTAATTGTTACTCATTCGAAAGTGATTCACTGGCGAAGCAGCACGAGATTTTACGGCGTAAACGGAATGTGTTTCCCCTTGCACATCGACGACCCGTACTTAATTGGATGGGAATATTCGGCCTTCATTTTCTTGGGATTAAATCTCACGGGGTAAGCAGAGACGATCGGCGTAAAAACAGCGACGTTAAAAATGGTTCACCGGCGCAATAAACCTTTTTTCGTTATGCTTAATGAGGACCAATCGTAAAGTTTATAACGCTCAAGTCGGTTACGCGTTACAGGCTGATCACGATCGGTTACGCTTACGCGGGTATGTTTGTGAGCATTTGGAAAACCAGGCACGCCTGTTCACTCTCCGTCGGCGATTCTGAATTCGCCTTGCGATTTTTTCTCATCGTTTTAACGGATGCGGCTTGCTGGGCGCCAATTATCATTTTGAAGATTAGAGCCATGATGAAGTATCCAATTCCGGGTAAGCTGCCCGTTTCGGTTATACTAATCTGTTCCTCGTTTCTGTTCCTCTGCAACACGCTCCACCTTAATTACGTCTTTAACGTAATTAATCGCTTTTAACGCGCGTTCGTAATTAACGAACCACTTCCGAACTTGAAAAGAAATTTATTCGAACGTCCAGATTTGTAATTCAAATGATCGCGCGTCGGAACAAATTTTTACACGTAGGATGTTCGGTCGATATTTGGTAAAATAGTATTCCCATTTGAATTTTAAATTAAATAATTTACAAAGTCTCATTGCGTTCGTTGTACCACCAAAGATATTAATATGAGATGGACAGTAACGAATGTATTTCTCTCGGTGCAGCGTCTGAAGGGTACGCAATTGGAACAGAATAAAATTCTTGGTGTAGAAATTTTAGAAATTCCCGTTTCACTTTTCTACCCTCTAAATTTCGTTGCAGCTGATCTTCACGCGTGGGTGGTGGTTTTTATATTGCCGGTAAATAGCGCGATTAATCCGTTATTGTATACGTTTACCACCCCAAAATTTCGAGAGAGATTAAACGAGGGATGGTTGGGGGAAATGCGTAGCTACGTGACGAAGAAATTTTCCACGGAAGGTATCTAATTTCCATTTCGATTACGAATATTTGATTATTTAAATTTCTTTATTCATCACGTGGAATACGTTACAGATTCCCGGAGATCCACGAGGAGCAGCAAGAACGTAATGTTGTCTCTGTTCAATGGCAAGAACTACGACAATAAAATACCCCCGCTGCTTGAATTTAGTAACGGGAAAATGCAGTCGGAGAAATGCGATCATATTCTGTGAATTTTATATAACGGAATTAATCCGTTATGCCTGAGAAGCTCAAAGGAGACACAGGTACTTTCGTATCGCGACAAAAATTAATTCAATTAGAGTTAACGATGCTTCCAAGCTGATTAACAAGTCGAAGGTAATACCTGAATATCACTCGCTGCAGCAGTTTACGATAAAGGGTAGGAATAAATTTTGTAAGTAGGTACCGTACCGTTAAGGTTCCGACGATGAAAACTTATAATTGTTGTGTACAACTGTGTATCGAACTGTTATGTATAGAATAAAACATCGTTTTCCGAAAATTATACGATACTGCAGCAAAATTACTCGCGGCAGAATTCGGCGGAATTCGTATTTTCGGCGAAGAATTACTTTCGGGGCCGAGAAAGATCCGCGATACGCGGGAATAAAATGGCAGTTGATTTTTCGAGCGGACGAAAATTTATTTCCACGAAAGATCTCTCAATCCGAGAAAGCCGGCGCTTCCGCGACGATTCGAGGCGAGGAATCAGAGGTCTGCAGCATCCGACAGCGGAACGACCGCAGCGATAACTCGAGGTGGCGCGTTTTTGCGACTGGATGGTCGGCAGAGCCGCGATTCGCACGCGACTCGCGGCCAGAATTCGCCTCGACGACTTTACGACGCGAAAAGTTTCGCTCGGGCCGCGTGCGACTGCCGGTTATGCACTCTGCTGCGTGGATACCGCGGCTCGTTCTCTAAACCGTACATAAATTACTCCTAACGAAGAGCACGGGACGGCGTTCGAAAAATTTATTGCATCCATTCTGATCTATCGGCAAATCGTGTGCCACGATGGTGCACCGTTATCGGGCAACCCCCTCCGGGGTCACTGCGGCCGACGGTCCCGCGATTTTCTTATTGTGCAACCGGCAGAACAGAATAACCGGCACGCTTTTTGTCAAGTCGCGGCCGAGGCATCGTGCGCCGCTTATTTCGGCGCTCAATGAACGTAAATAACCCCCGTCGTATTTTACCGACGGCACTGGATTGCCTAATTAAGTCAGCGGACAGCGCGTTAAGAGGGTCGACCGGGAAGAATCGAGCGGGAAGGTGGTGTAAAAATTTCTTACTTACATTAACTATATTGAATTCTTCCGCGTTTTCGGGGAGGATAGAAATTTTTAAATTTAGAGTTGAAATAGTATTCATTTTTTTCTTTTAAATTAAATTAAGAAGCTAAAATCGCGGTCTCGTGGGTGAAGATAAAGAGGATAAAAATCCATTTGAGGATTCCCAGAGGTGAATATCAAATCGAAATAAAATAATCGTCGAAAAATCGGAGACACTGTTAAAAAATGTTACAAAATAGAAAGCAATAAAATCGATTATGTCTAAATGGAAAATGGAATAGAATTCTTCGACGCTTTCGGGAAGGATAGAGAATTTTTAAATTTGGGGTTGGAACAGTATTCATTTTTTCTTTTAAATTAAATTAAGAAGATAAAATCGTAGTCTCGTGAGTGGAGATAAAGAGGATAAAAATCCATTTGAGGATTCCCAGAGGTGAATATCAAATCGAAATAAAATAATCGTCGAAAAATCGGAGACACTGTTAAAAAATGGTACAAAATAGAAAGCAATAAAATCGATTATGTCTAAATGGAGAATGGAATAGAATTCTTCGACGCTTTCGGGAAGGATAGAGCATTTTTAAATTTGGGGTTGGAACAGTATTCATTTTTTCTTTTAAATTAAATTAAGAAGATAAAATCGTAGTCTCGTGAGTGAAGATAAAGAGGATAAAAATCCATTTGACGATTCCCAGAGGTGAATATCAAATCGAAACAAAATAAGCGTCGAAAGAACCGGAGACACTGTTAAAAAATGTTACAAATTAGGAAGTGATAAAGTCGATTATGTCTAAATGGAAAATGGAATAGAATTCTTCCACGCTTTCGGGGAGGATAACAAAATTTTTCATTTGGGGTTGGAATAGTATTCATTTTTTTCTTTTAAATTAAATTAAGAAGTTAAAATCGCAGTCTCGTGGGTGAAGATAAAAAGGATAAAAATCCATTTGAGGATTCCCAGAGGTGAATATCAAATCGAAACAAAATAAGCGTCGAAAGAACCGGAGACACTGTTAAAAAATGTTACAAATTAGAAAGCGATAAAATCGATCGTCTAAATGGAAAGTTATAGTCGACCAGTTTCTAACGACGACGCTTGTATACGTATTTGCAGAGATAAATTAGATATCATCGACCGACGAAGTTCAACGACGTGTTTCGTTCTATCGTAATTACCGTCTTAAACGTTTAACTGTAGATTTTTGAAAGGGAAAGGCAGTCAATTTCACGGTGTCACAAACGTCTATCGGCTCTGCTAGATATTATCTTCCGTAATTAGTCAGAGCCGCCTTCTATTAGTTCTCCGAATCCACGTTGATTCCGCGTCGGGCAGGATTAATTTCATTAATTCCCGTGGAATCAAGATGGCAGCCCTTGTTAATTGAATCGAGAATCAAACATTGTACTCACCTCGGTGGATAATTTAATCAATTAACCGTCGTTATCCATCCACGTACGCGTCGATGAGATACGATCGACTATGTTTATGGAAGTTTGAAGTTCGTTCGCCTTGCCTTCGAAATTGAACTGGATAATTATGCTTCCTTTTACTCGTAAATATCGCGGTAAAATTCATGAATCGTATCTTTCGAAGTCGCGAAGGAAACATCACGGGGATGGTGAACAATTTATAGCTCGAGCGAGCATCGACATCGTAGCAGCGTCGTTAAACGAGCGGAGAGTATCGCTCGAAAATTGCTACATTGACGGTGTAATTGAGTTTTCACGATTAATAAGCGGACCCGTGTCACGTACCAGCGAAACGAGACCGAGGCGTGTGTAAACAGACGAAAATGCCTGAAATATCACGGCGCAAATTAAAACGGCAATTTCATATTATAATTAAATGTTTTTACGAGCGGGAATCGATATTCGACTGCGTTACGACGGAACATAAATTATTATACCGGCCAAAAAAAGACGCATCGTTGCACTCTACGATTCGCCGCCACGTGGGCCGGCTCTTACACGATATAATGTATAATTTATGGTAGATGGCCAATGGGAGGATCCCGTTAAGGGGCCTCGATACTTCCTGCAAGACAGTTCGCCTTTTCGGACTGATTTTTCTTCCGTCTCGCCACCACCACGGGACTTTCAGTCAAATTTAATTAACCGATTGCTATCCCGTCGTCTATTTTACCGTTGCCAACTACTATGAATCTAATTTTACACCGGGGTATCAGGTTTTAGCTTAAAAAAATTCGGAAAGTTCGATCGATACGGTATATTTTACGACGATGAAATAGATTCGCCAAATTGGCATTTCTTTTTTTATTTCTAGCAATACTAAAAATATTTTTATTTAATTTTGCAGTCACCTTTCGCTATCTTCTTCGATGTTAAAAATGATTTTAAATTGCAATTTTTTTAATATATTTAAATAACTGGATGACGGATAAAAAAATATTTAACGTAGTGGGATTAAAATTATACTTAACGTGTTTTAATTTTAATTAAAATTAGGAGATCAAAGCGCGCGAAAATTTAATCCTACTCTCGTTCCGAATTTTTCAAATTCGTAAGATTCGAAAATTGCACGAAATTTCGATTCCGATTCCGATTCCGCGAATTTAAAGCCTAGATACGAAATGGCAATGTACGTGTTCGAATTTCGCAAAATCGACGAAGAGGATCGCGAAATGCAGTTGCGAGTACATTTCTATTACCGAACGCAGAAGCGCGTTTTTCATTTGCATTGGGAAGAAACTTGTAGTTACGACGAAGTTAGGTTGCATCACGCGAGAGTTGCTGGCTAATCAATAAAAGTTCGTTACACTGAGGCGCAAAATCTTCGTTGCATTTTAAAATCGCGTATAAGCATGCAGGTGAGCGTGCAATGCGTCGTCCTTGATCCACAGTAGGTGGGTATGTCGGTGCATGTAGCTGGGAAAATAAAGGAATCGTGCGCATGGATCGCGTTGAGAAATAGCAACGAAGTGTACAGTATATCCGAGTCCGTGGGATGATTCAATGATTCCATTTGCAACGGCGAGAGAAATCGTTTGCTCGCGTGGAAAAGTAAGTTACGCGACCAGACCACTGTGCTCCTCGTTATTTTCTCCCCGTCGTTTCGTTCGTCTACCGCACTTATCTACCTATGCTATGCTATATTTGTCCATTACACGCGTCTGAAGTTCGAATCGCGTGGAAAACGAGGGTGAATTTCTCGGCTCTGCTCGGACTCGTGCATTCAGGCTTCCGACTCGTCCGTGTCCACGACATCGCGCGATTTGTCTCGAAACTTTTCGCCAGACCTAACAAAAGGGTACGCCGCTTTAACCCCTTGGCTACTATGGGCGCCTACAGGCGCTTAGAAATTTTGCGTTTGTGACACGGAGGGCACCTATGGGCGCTTAGAAATTTTACATTTATGGCACGGAGGACGCCTATAGGTGCTTAGAAATTTTATGCGTTTGTGACACGAAGGGCGCCTATGGGCGCTTAGAAATTTTATATCTATGGCACAGAGGACGCCTATAGGCACTTAGAAATTTTGCGTTTGTGACACATAGGGCGCCTATAGGCGCTTAGAAATTTTATATCTATGACACGGAGGGCACCTATGGGCGCTTAGAAATTTTACATTTGTGACACGGAGGGCGCCTATGGTCGCTTAGAAATTTTATATTTGTGGCACGGAAGACGCCTATAGGCGCTTAGAAATTTTGCATTTGTGACACGGAGGCCGTCTATAGACGCTCGGCGTAGTTTAGCTTTCTGACACGGAGGGCGTTCGTTTTCACAAAAATGGCGCACATCGTATCTCAATTCCTGCCGTATAGTACGGCCGCTACGTATCAAAATCTGCCATAGTCAAGGGGTTAAAATTCTTAAACAAGCTACCGTTCTAAAATATAAGCAGCCGGTGTCAATTTCCTGCGTGACATTTACGATAAACGCAAGACGGATCGAAT